ACTTCTTCTTCTTCTTCAGGGTTATATGAATTACAGAATGGATGTTCAAAATGTTCATTTACAGTCGTAACTTCCTCCTCATTATCATCAACAACATCTTCCTCGGCAGCGGCTGTTTTATCATCAAAATTCGGGTATTGACCAATATCAAAATCATTACACGCATGGTCTGTTTCTTCTTCTGAAACATCATCAAAATCTGAGTATTGACCAAGATCAAAGTCTGGGTATTGACCAAGATCAAATTTCGAATACTGACTAGTACTCACAATTTTTTCTGTTGGCTCATCATCGTTTAACTGGTCAATATGAAAACCAGAATTTCGTGCTGAAAGTTTATTGGGATTTGGATTAGGAAAAGGTTGTGGGTTTTGAGATTGTGTTTGATATTGTGTTTGGTATTGGAAATATGGTTAAACAAAATTTTCTTGGTGATGAAATTATGGTGGAACCATTAAATTTTGAGGTTGATAATAACGTTGTACATTGTGGGCACCATAAATTGGGGTTGAAGAACTTAGTTGATTACTACCCGCTACTGACCCAACTTCACTACTTCTAGGTTCAACAACATACAATGTAACATCATCTTCTTGTGAAACACTAATGTAAGCAACGAATCGTTCAACATCTTCATTGTCGGTTAACAAATAAACTTTACCTTTTCTCTGATAAGATAGCCTAAATCCACTTATAGGCTCTAAATTCAATTTCTTTGCAACACGTAACATTAGAGTTTCATAAGTTAACTTTTTTAATGACAGTTTTAGTTGAAGATTCATGGGTAAATGCATATATCGTAAAACACCATGAACATTCTCCCATGACCCTCCAAAACACAAATCTATCCAAACATGATCAACATTAGATGATTTCATTCTACAAATTGTAAATTAATTTACTAAACAAATGAGTTATAAACTACATATCATCACTAACTTAGAGAAGAACGTAAATTTTTTAAGTTGATAGTTGATAATTTGGGAGAGAAATCATTGAAAAATTATATAGAAATAAAATTATGTATAAAAAATTAGAGATGGGGAAAGATGTCGTTGGATATAGGAACATATGTCGCCGGAGAGAGTGATAGATGGAGATGGAATGAGTTACGATTTAGGGATTTAGGTTATGAGTTGCTGCTGCTGCGTAGTTATATACCCAAAACATTTGTGTTGCAAAAATAAAACATGTTGCGAAATTAAAATTCATGTTGCGAATTCGAAAATCGAGTTGTGAATTCGAAAATCGAGTTGCGAATTCAGAAATCGAGTTGCGAATTTGAAATTCAGTGTTACGAATTTGTAAATCACGTTGCGAATTTGGAAATCACATTGCGAATTTGACTTCTGTGTTGCGATTTACAGATTCGCGTTGCGATTTACATATTCGCGTTGCGAATTTGGAAACTGAGTTGCGAAATTGGAGTTCACGTTGCGAATTTATTGGTCATTTTCGCAAATTCAAAAAAAAATTGATTAAAATCGTATATTATAAGGTATTTTCGGTCACTGAAATTCAATGTTACGAATTTGTAAATCGCAACGCGAATTTGTAAATCACGTTGCGAAATTAAAATTCATGTTGCGAATTCGAAAATCGAGTTGTGAATTCGAAAATCGAGTTGTGAATTCGAAAATCGAGTTGCGAATTCAGAAATCGAGTTGCGAATTTGAAATTCAGTGTTACGAATTTGTAAATCGCAACGCGAATTTGTAAAGCGCGTTACGAATTTGGAAATCGCGTTGCGAATTTGACTTCTCTGTTTGCGAATTTAGATTCGCGTTGCGAATTTAGAAACTGAGAAATTGGAGTTCGCGTTGCGAATTTATTGGTTATTTTCGTAAATTCAAAAAAATTAATTAAAATCGTATATTATAAGACATTTTCGGTCACTGAAGTTTTTTTTTCTTTAAATGGAGTTCAGTTCAATCTTATAAATTGACCATTAGATTAAAGACACCTGGCAAATCTTTAGCCACTTATCATGCCCGAATTCTGATTTTCCCAGTCGAGCTATTTTGGCAACCAAATTACAACAGGCCCCAGCGCCCATGGTTTTCTAATCTCTAGGTGTTACTACCATTGGTATTATGCATTTGCACACTTTTTATTGCAGTTTTTTCTCTCTGTTTCAAATCACCCCCCTTTTTCTTTATTAATCATACGAATAATCAAAACAAACACGATTCATGTTGGTTCTGGCATTTGAGAGAGAACCATTTGCAGAAGATATCGTCTTGATAAAAAAGATGCAGTTTTCACGACAAGATTCAAGGAGAGGGCAAGACGAGGATCATCCTACACACAAGTAAAGCATAATATTTGCTCTTTGTATAATCTTTTTCATTGGTGATGAAATTCTGATCATATTTCTATGGTTTATTACAGTTGTGAAGATTGATTGAGGATTGGGTTAATCAGTTGCATCGAAGAGTAACCAAAAGCTTCATTTTTTTTCTACATTTTTGAGCTTTGGTGCACAATCGCCATTACGATGTCCCTTTTATCCAGATTACGATGCATCACTGTGGATGTGACCGGGACTCTCATAGCTTACAAAGGGGAGCTCGGTGACTACTACTGCATGGCAGCCAAATCTGTTGGACTGCCATGCCCAGATTATAAACGTGTGCATGAAGGTTTCAAGCTTTGCATACATAGAGATGACAAACAAGTATCCTTGTTTCGGATTTGCTGCAAAAATGCCCAACATTGAATGGTGGAAAATCTGTGTTAGGGATTCCTTTGTCAAGGTAAGATATGAATTAGGCTATCAAAGGTACTGTCATTGTATATGACAAGGAACGGATGCACGATGTTATGCTGGGGTGATCATCCTGTTAGCTCCCCTCGGTCCATCCATGTATATGACATTAGTCTTGTTTTGCTAACAGGCAGGATACGAGTACGACGAAGAGACATTTGAGAAGATATTTAAACGCATATATGCTTCGTTCGGCTCGTCTGCACCGTATATGGTGTTTCCAGACTCCCAACCCTTCCTAAGATGGGCTCATGAGAAGGGTCTTAAGGTGGGGATCATTAGCAATGCCGAATATCGATACCAAGATGTCATTCTTCCGGCATTGGGATTGAACCAGGTAAACTAACCTCAATGTCAGGATGGACGTAAGATTTTTAGAGTATGAAAATAAATTATCAATAAAAATATAAGGAAAATATCTAAAGTATACGAAGAGTTTGACTTGCCCTTAGGCTCATCCCTGCACAATACCTACTTGTACGAGAGTTTGACTTGCCCTTAGGTTCATCCCTACACAATACCTACTTGAAAAATATGAGAACCAATGATATGGGATAGTCTGCTTGTTCCATTGCAACATAATGCTGTGATGGTACTTTTTATGTGTCGAGCTTGGTTAGGTGATTTAACGTGGTGTTTATATTTGGAAGTCATGTCTATATGGTTGTTTTAGGGATCGGAGTGGGACTTCGGTGTGTTCTCTGGTCTCGAAGGTGTAGAGAAACCGGACCGACGGATTTACGAGATTGCACTTGAAAGGGCCGGAAATATTGCACCCGAAGAGACTCTGCACGTTGGTGACAGCATGCGCAAAGACTATGTCCCGGCAAGGAGTCTGGGGATGAATGCCTTGTTACTGGATCGATTCAGTACTCCCGAAGCCGAGGAGTGGAGAAAATCGGGTGCTATCGTTCTTCCCGAATTGACGGCGGTGCAGGAATTGCTTTGTTCGGAGAATTTGACCTTAGCTTGCTAAGGAAATGCTGCTGATGTCCTGTCTGTCATCTGTATGTTTTGTTTTTAACCATTTGGTTAATAAATGTGATAAATGTGCTAGCCGGTTAAATTACCGGCTGGTACAACAACTATTATTATTTTCAAACTCTTATGAATTTTATAAAATTTAAACAACAATTTCTTTTCATTTCAGCATACGTTATTTATTCTTTTATACAATGCTTGAAAGTAAAACTCAAAAAGTATATTTTGAAAAAAAAATTAAATTTCATTTTCTTTAAATAAGCATTGCAAAGTAATATATGTTATAAATACTTGAATTTTCATATTATCGTAATAATAATAATCTCAATTAATTTAAGATTGTACTAACCATATATGATTAGCTGATAATAATAGATGTGTTCATAGATCAAATCAAGACATAATAAAAAAAATTAAAGGGTAAATTACACATTTAGTATCTAAATATTCAGTTTTGATTTGTTTTAGTACCTAAACTTTTAAATTTTTTCAAAATCATACATAAAGTTTAGTTTTTTATTTCATTTTTAGTACCAAAACTTAAGTGTTGAAAAAATTGAAAGTTTAGGTACGAAATCACGTTTAGTACCTAAACCATACTTAAGTTAAAAAATAAAGTTTAGGTACTAAAATAGAACAAAACTGATATTTTAGGTTCTAAACACATTAAATTATTAATGACGATGTACTAAAATGAAACAAAAACTAAACGTTAGGTATGATTTTGAAAAAATTGAAAATTTAGGTACTAAAACGGATCAAAATTGATGATTTAGATATTAAACACACAATTTACCCAAAATTAAATCCATACTTGCCCTTAGTCCCAACTTTTTTGTTTAAAAATAATAAATATTGTCAACAATCTCTAGAATAAGTAGTTCTATATTGACACCTCCCATCTCTCTTAAGTTAGGTATTCAATATTCATTAGAAGTAAAAATTCTTTTTCCTCTCTCTCACATATAGAAATTGTTCAGAAAATAAATATCGATGTTGCTATCCATTTTTATTTTAAAAATAATTAATATCAAAATTGTTATGGTTAATTATTTTTAGTTTATGTCTAATATGATTAAAAGTCTATGTATGTCTAATATGATTAAAAATCTCTGTAATAAATAGAATTTTAATAATAATAATAATATTATTATTATTAGGACTTTGTTGTTTATTAAGATTATAATTTTATATAATATCTATTTTTATTATTTATAAATATAAAATTTGAAGAAAAAAATTATAGGTACTTTTATTCTCTTCTATTGTTTACTTTTTCCTAAAAGATTGAACTGAAATCTCCGGGGACAGGAAAACAAAAACTTGGATATTCTGTCAAGGTAACCCAAGAGTTTCATCCTTTCACTTGATGTTTTCTTTTTAAGTCATTGCAGTTTTAGTTCTTATGGTTTTGGTTGGTCAGTTCTTTTTCGATCTCACCTTCATGCCTTTTTCATGTAATTGAATTATTTGAAAACCCAATTTGCTAGTGCTATAATAGAATTCTAAGATGTTGATGGGATTTGAGGACAGATCTTTAATTCAACCTAACTTTTTTTCTTTGGTCTTCAAGAACTAATTTTGATTTCTATGCTGTCTGGTATGGAGATTTGAATGTTAGCTGTTTATTTTGGGGTTATGGTGTGCAGCTTGCTTAAGACTCTTTGGGAAAGTAACTATAGTTCTTCCATTGAAATGAAGTTTCCAGGCAGACCAAGAAAATTTCTACAGAATCCAGTTTTGTGGGGAAATTGAGTTGATCAAGTCTATTCCTTTTGAGAGCTTAGCTTTAAGTGTGATGAAGTATATCTTATAGCTATAACGTGCAATTTCCTTTGTTCCGTAGTACTTTATCTCAATATGATCAGCTACTCTGATTAAGCTGGAGTATTTTTCTTTTTTTGAGATCGAGACGAGGTTACACTCATGAACTTTGGATATTGCATTTAGTTTAATCTGTTTTGAATTAGTCATGCCATGTTCTTTCAACTTCCAAATTATTAGACTTAAAACATAATTCAGTGGTTAGAAAGTGAGGTTGTCTTCCTGCTAGATTTGCAATTATACTGTTATAAACTTATAATCAACCATACGCTTGAATACTAGTTTTGACCATTTAGGAAAACATGGAAGCCAATAGGGGACAAGGTGGAATTCAGCAGTTCCTTGCTGCAGAACAAGAAGCTCAGCACATTGTGAATTCTGCCAGAAATGGTAACTACTTGTGTTCAAATCGCCATTTGGAGAGATTTGTCTGGATTTATAATTATAGACCGATATCTATGTCTGTTCGTGTGTATACCTTCTCGTATCTCTAATTTTAGGAGAAAGAACTTCGTGATCAATGGAAGAGCCCGTGTTTGCATCTGTTGCTTGTAATGTGTCTCTGTCATGCATGGAATTGTTTCTGCCTGCATTATTCTTAGTCTTCTCAAAGTAGTCCCATGGATTTCGTTTTGGTTCATTATTAATGCTAAAACAAATTTTCTTGATTCTTTATTGCTTGGATTTCTACTTTTAGCCAAGATGGCTAGGCTGAAACAAGCCAAGGAAGAGGCTGAAAAGCAGATTGCCGAATACCGAGCTCTGGTGGAGAAGGGGTTTAAGAGGAAACTTGATGAGGTAACTACTTTTTGATGGTTAACTAGGCATAGCATCCGACCCTTGTAGCTTGTAAAGTGTCTCTGAGGGTTGGAAGCTTTCTCGACTTGCATAATAGACGCATCATAGATTTGTTAACTCCCTGTCTTCTGATATTTGTTTTGCAGTCTTCAAACAAACGAGCGGATATTCAAATGTTAACGTGAAGCGACCTGAGCAAGAGACACGAACAAAGATCCAACACCTGAAAAATGAGGCTGCAAGAATATCAGGAGATGTTGTTCAAATGCTTCTCAAGCATGTAACAACTGTAAAGAATTAGTCCCCCTTAAAATGGCAAACATTCACAACTTGTTATTGATGTTTCCCTACATGATGTAATATTTAGTTTGCTGTCTTCATTTAGTTTAAATTCTAGTGAGCAAATTAGACTCTTTTTATCAGGCAAATGACTTTGAGAATATGTAGGACAAATGGTGTGCCTTTATTATTATTATTATTGTATCATATGCCTTAAGTTCCTTTTTCTTTCTATTTCCAAGTCATACAAACACCCTACTACCTTCTCCAAGTTTAGAGACAAAGAAATTGCCCTCTTCAAGTGGGAATTAGAGCTTGTGTCAAGTGGGAATTAGAGCTTGTGTGTCAGCTATATGCCAAATTTGACAACCCAAAAGCAAGGGTTACATGCTTCAAGAGAAAATAAATGGGAGAAAAAGTAGCACGAGAGCATAGTCAGCTTGAACCCAACTTGATTCAATTAGATTTCTCCCCTTTTTTTTTATAAGAATTGGAGGCATCGTTAAAAACCCCCTTCATAATCATCAACATACTAAAACGTATGTCAATGAAAATTGGAAGGAGGAAAAGAGTACCTCATGATTTATTAAATAATAAACCCATTACATCTTGTATGAAATAACACCCCAAAAAGATACATACACCACATCTAAACCAGATAACCAAATATTACAAGGTCAACCCTATCTGATACCCGCTCACGCCTATCACAAGCCTCACATCACTAAAAACCAAAAATATTCGAAAGCAGTACATAAATCCATTAAAATGATAAAAACACAACCGACTCCTAACGACGAACCATCAATATCTTGGTGAAGCAACACACTCCAATCAATTAAAACTTCTTCCAAAACCGCTAACAGACTAAAATCCAATATACGTCCGAGACATTTAAGCCACTTTAGCCTTTTGCTTGCTACTTTTAGATTAGCAAGGTTTTTTTTTCTTTCCGTATTTTTATCCCTTCTGAATACCCTCTCCCTGCAACTGGTTAGAATCACCTATTGCCCCACTACTGAGACCGTCTTCCAGGGCATGAGACTCACCAACATTCTGATCTAATCAATCGAGGGCACAAGGTAAAGAAGACTCCAAAAATGAACTTGACCTTGAAGCTAAACCTATCTCACCACCATTGGTTCCATCGCCAGGCACAACTTCTTTCCCTATCTGGTTCGACAAGTTTTCCATCAATCCAAGTGGAGAGGAACCTGGTGTAGCCTTAGGGGAACATTGACTAGTGGGAGGAGCCTCAATTTGACTCACCATTGGATTTTTTGATTCATCGTTGTCAGGGGCAATCGTGTCTTCTCTATGTTCCTCGGGAACCCAAGGAATAGGCTTGAAACTCGGATCGATCTCACGAACCAGGACGTTAAACGGTTGACCTTCAACCTTCAGTCGTACTACCTCATCAATTCTAGAGATTATATTTTTGAAGATTTGGATTTTCACCCGATCAAATGACGATGGATATTGAGATTTTTCATCTATTGAAATAATTTTCCCCCACTTTGATGCAATGTTTGTAAAGGTATCCCAGCTCCAAGCATGAAAAGGAATACCTTCGCAAACCAACCATATACGCCGACTCTCTACCATCAAGTCTTTTGACCATGATTCAACCCTGTTAAACCACACTGCCATAGACTCCGAATTCTCTACCTTCATTCTATTCAGTAACAGCAAGGATTCAAAACACATTAGGACAACATTTCTAGTAGCTCTCATCAACGAAAAACCCTTAAGGCTTTTTTCATGCATTTGTCTTGCAAGATTCGAGATGGAGACAAAATTTCTACACCAACACATAAGGCAATTTTCCAGTACTCGTAATTTATCTTCATCAATCACCCCTTCAATCGAGGATAAGTAACTCTGCTTGTCAGCTACCTCCCTATCCTTTCGCTGAAATGATGAATTAGTTCTTCTCCAGAAGGATTGCCTGGGCTTATATTTTTCCGTTAAAAATCCAATCTTGCGTCCAAAAATGAAAGAGCCATCCATCCTAACAATTGTTTTATTGGCTTCTTCAAATGTAACAAATATGATAAATCCAAAACGAATCCCCCGTATAGATTTTTTAGAAGGGATGAAAGCATCAATCACCTTTCTATGGATGCAAAAAAGAGAGCTAAGCTTTTTCCAATGAAGATTCTCAGGAATATTTTCAACAAATAGCGTATAACATCCAACCCTAATTCCCTTTTTTGTCGATATATATTTTTCCTTCCTCCATGAACTGTTAACCTTCCTCCACGAATCCAAAACTGAAACGCGGGATTTTGTAGAACTTCCGGCAGGGTATGGTCGGAATACTCTAGAGACAACAACATTAAAATCGGCGCCGAAAATGATTGTTCACGCGCCCTCACGCGTCGACACGTGAAGAAGAAGCTGTACTGTGTGGCGGCGCGTGAACTCCACGCAATGGGTGAATGGTGACCGGGCTTTACAGATCGGTCGATCATCGAACGATGAACCTCTTGGTGTCGGCTGTGTCGAGAGAACTGTCTCCAAAAGTCCCCGGCGAAAATGAAAAAACGACCTTCAACGGTAGATTTGCGCCGTTTGAAGGATTTTTTCGCAAAACAAAGTTCAAAAGTAGAATCACAGTGGCGAGATGAACTTTCCTGAGAAAAATGACGACGGAAGATGGTCGGAGTAAGGCGACAGGCGGCAGACAACGGTCAACGATAAATAGTGTTGGCAGATAGCGGAACGCACACTTGAGAACTAATGGGATCCCAAAAACACCTAACCTTCTAGAGAGAAGCTCTCACTAGATTTGAATTTTTATTCACTCCTGAGCATCATTAGCATATTTCTTCCCCTTTTTTTTTCTTTTGATAAATTCTCTTTTCACGCTCATATCATGCTATATATATAATCCTATATATCCAACGCTCATATCATGCTATATATATATATAATCCTATATATCCAATTACACAACGTAGAATTTTATAGTTTTGCATAGATTTAAGACCGTTGAATAAGTGAAAATATCATGCTATATATATATAATCCTATATATCCAATTACACAACGTAGAATTTTATAGTTTTGCATAGATTTAAGACCGTTGAATAAGTGAAAATAAACGATTGAAATTAATGGTAAGAAATGAGAAAATATTCACTGGACGAAAAAACAAGGAATTAACCTCAACTGTCTATTTTCACTTATCCAAATGCCCTAAATTTGTGTAAAATTATAAAGTTTTATATTGTGCGAGTGGGTTCTAACCCTATATAGTGTAAAACTTTTTTAGTTTTATACATATTTAGGATAGTTGGAAGAATGAAAATAGACGATTAAGGTTAACTCATTTTTTTCAGTGAATATTTTATTATTTCCAACTATTAATCTAAATTGTTTGTTTCCACTCATCTAACAATGTTAAATCTATGTAAAACTAAAATGTCTTATATTGTATAATCGAATTTTAGCACTTTTTATATACCATTTGCAAACTACAGTACGCTTATTTGTTGTGAAAATAAATAAATAAATTTTTAGATAGTGAAAGGAACAATGCAATAGGATGAGGGTGAATTTTGTTAAATCTATCGTGGTTTCATAATTGACATGTTCTATTTTATTATATGTTCGTTTTATTATAAATTTGTAATTTTAAAAATCACTATCATTCTTGCACGAACCAAGCAATTTAAGTGGTAAATAATTTATTGTTATTTCTTGAGTTTTCGGGTTTAAGCACCATGAATATTAAGGGTGTGAACGCTTAATGTTAAATGGTTAAGAGTTAACTTTAAACATATACTTCCTTGTACTTACCTTATATTACTAAAAAAATCACTATCATTTTTATGGGTGTTAGGATACATCTATTCTTGTGACGCCCCGTCCATCTCTATTTGATTTTTATTATTTAATTTTAATATTTTAAAGGAAAGCAAATATACAAGCATATTTTTAAAAAAATTTATTTAACATAAATAATAAGATACTTTTTATATTTCTCTAAACATGAAAGTTTAAATATAAAAGAATTTTAATTTTTTATACATCACAATTTTATTTTTTCCAACTATTATATATATATATATAATATAATTTTATATAATGACATAAGATAGAACGAATAAATAGTTATCATCATGATTCAATATCTAGACATTCTTTATTATTATTTTTTGAATAATTTGGGTGTCTAAAAGGTAATATCTATTTATGATATTTTTTAATTATTTGAAAATATATATACTCTGTAAATGTAGTTCGAAATCAATACCTCTATAAAGAATATAATTTGGCCTAACAATTTTATTAACTTGGCCTAATGATTTTATTAACAAGGAATGTGATTAGTATATACATATAATTTGGGTGAAATTGAAATATTTAAAAGTTTGAGGATTAATTTAAAGTCATAGTCATAATTTAAGAATTAAGTTATAATATTTAAAAATATAATAATCAATTTAAAATGAAGATCGAGGATGCAATAAACTGATCCTGCAGCACTTTTATTTAAAAATATATATAAAATAAGACATTGAATGGGCAAAACCAAGGGACCAAAGCACTTAGCAGCCTCTCAATATCTCATTCCAGTCTAAGTGGGAATTATGTTAAAGCTTCCCACTTTTCCATTCCCCCGCTATAATGAATATCGAAGGACATTATGTACAGGGAATTCAATTATTAATTGGATTTTGATACTATTATATGAATGATTTCACTAGCCAACAAAAAGATTTTAATTTTGTTTTTTAAATTTCAGGGTTTTATTTGGTATTTGCAGTGGAACAAGCCATGTTATGGATATTAGATAGGTTGAAAATGGTGGTGGAGGTGGAGAATACCTGTAAAGCATTTCTTTTTCAACAGCCTTGGGCTTGAAAATTGATCTGAAAAAAAAAGGTTTAAAATTTTGTTCATTATACATCCAATGATTTCTGCTTTGACAGCTTTGTTCATCTTTGATAATGAAACGTAAATTGTAATTAACCTAACAATTCAGACGTTTTTTTTTGGAAGTTTTGGTATTTTTGTCATCAAACAACAAAAAAGGAAAAAGAAAAAGATGTTAACTTTAGCACAACTTATATCTCTTCATCAATGGTGGCTTTGGTGGAGCTTTACGCAAAACCCAACTTTCACCCAACCAAAGATTCTCTTATTTATTTATTCTTTAGATGGAGAAATGGAAGGAAGAGATAGGTAGCTAGCCTAGCTTTTCCTTTCATTTTCTTGGGGTGTTTCGAGGGAATAAAATGGTAAACCCTGGATTTTTTACATGAAACCCGGATCGAGTTTGGTTATAGAAATCATTCCTTTATATTTTCTTTTGCAAAATATTCTGGTTGATTTTACTTGATAATCCAAAAACCGGGAAAAAATTCATGGGAAACATCGGAAGTAGCCGAGTGAATGGCCGGAGAAGACACGGAAGCCGGCGGAACCACCCTCCTCCTCCACCGCCTCCTCCTCCGGCTCAGCCGCTAACTGAAATCCCCGCCAACCGTTACGTCTTTGCCGCCGCAACCCCTTACCCGCCCCAATACCCGAACACCAACCCGCCCCAGTACTACCAATACCCAGGGTACTACGCCCACCAGCCGCCCGCGCCGTTTCCGCTTCCGGCGCCCTACGATCATCATCATCACCATCACCATCGAGCTGGCCCCCACATAGAACCCGCCAATTGGGGTCGGTATGCTTATGGACCGATGATGCCACCGCCGCCGGTGCCGTATATAGAGCATCAGAAGGCGGTTACGATAAAGAACGACGTTAATTTGAAGAAGGAAACTTTGAAATTCGAAGCTGATGAGCTGAATCCAGGGAAGTACTTGGTTTCTTTCACGTTTGATGCCACTGTTGCTGGAAGGTATAAAAATTCAGTATTTTTTTTTAATTTAAAAAAAGTTTCATGTGTTTCCATATACGTGAATCTAATGTTTGAGATATGAATTTTACAATTTCGAAAACAGATTATGTCTAAATTATACGATAATTCGAAATTTTCAGGGCGACTGCCGCCAGTTCCATCCATCTCTGATCTTATCTGTAGTTCAGATGTGCCAGTTTTTATGTGAATCACTGGTTGTCTCTGATTTCATTTCTTAACGACATGTAGTATTTGGTTTGTTCTGCAAACAGGATGACTGTTATTTTCTTTGCAAAAGAAGGTGAAGACTGTAATCTGACAGCAATGAAGGAAAGTATTCTACCCCCAGTGATCGTACCATTCGAACAAGGTCTAGGACAGAAGTTTAGATTGCCCTCTGGAACAGGGATCGATTTCTCTATGTTCGAGGAGTTGGAACTACTCAAACTAGATGAAGTCGATATCTATCATCTGGCCGTGAAAGCAGAGGCATCTCCTCTCGTCGAGAATGTGTCGGATGGTAACCCAGGCTCGGGATCCATGAATTCTCAGATAACTCGGGCAGTGCTCGAGAAGGACAAGGACGAATACCAGACGAGAGTAGTGAAACAGATTCTGTGGGTGAACGGGATGAGGTATGAACTGCAAGAAATATACGGGATTGGAAATTCAGTCAAAAACGACGTGGATGCAAACGATAGTGGAAAAGAATGCGTTATTTGCCTTTCGGAACCACGGGACACAACTGTTCTTCCCTGCAGACACATGGTAAACATAAGCTGCTTATTCTTTTCTCTTCATTAGTTCAGGTAATTTGAGATTATAGGCAGTGGTTGATGTAATTCTTTTTGTTGTACATAATGCAGTGCATGTGCAGCTCTTGTGCAATGGTTTTGAGATGCCAGACGAATCGGTGCCCGATCTGCAGGCAGCCGGTCGAGAGGATTTTGGAGATAAAGGTCAACAACGGCACTGATGAATGAGACCTGTATAGTATTTTGTTACATTTATGCCAAAGCCTTTCAAATAATCGGAACAGGAAGTTATAATCAACTACATAACATGGTATGAAGAAGATGCTGTAATTTCACACTCAATATATCCAGTCCAATAGATACCATCTTGTTTGATGGGCCTTCAAAAATAGGTTATTAAAACATATTGTATGAGACTTGAAAAGCTCTGATTTGATGATGGTGTGGCTCATTGTTTGTAGTTTGGTTCTGATCTTCCAAGAAGATAAATTTTCCTCTATCGTAAAAACGTAATACAATCAGGTCTCGTATATATTTCTATGTGTCCCTCTCGACAAACAGAAAGCACAGATTCCTGGGTAAAGATCAAGCCATGCCCGAGAGTGGTTCGTGGTGGACACGAGCAACCAGTGGTGGAATTTATGGAACATCTCAAATGCTTGGGGCAGGTTGCAGGGTACCTGACCAACAGAGCCAAACCGGTACATCATTGTCTCCACCGTGCAGATGACCGATACAAATCAAATGCCGCTCCACTAATCCGCCAGCACCATATAGATAGAAATGAGTATGGAGGCATCATCATCCACAATAGATAAATAGAAGCCTTCACCAATGACCATAAGCTAAGAATCGTACTCATGAGTCGTGTCCCTCGCATCAAGCCACAACCTTTCGATCTTCCATACTCGACTTGAACCAAGTCATCTCCACCTCTAGTCAAAATATATTTCCATCCATATAAATTTTGTGAAAGTTAGAGCATCTTACAAAACCAATAATTAACGAGATAACACTCCAGTAAATTAGCAGACCATCTCAATAATTTCTAAAAGAAAACAACATTTTTTTACGATTTTTTAAAGCATGAGAAAAATGTATGATGCTCACCTTTAAATTTAGACTTAATATAAAAATAAATGCTTAAGCTAAATTGTTTTTCTCATTTAACCGTCTAAATTATTTTTTGGTCAATCCAAGTATCTAAAGTTACAAATATTATCATTTTAAGTGTCACAACCGTAACAACGTTAATAAATTATGTTAAGTGACACATGTCAGAACTCTGGTAATCTAGAAAATTTTTATTTAAAATAAAATAATTAAAAATATGTTTTTTTTAAAAAACTCAATTTTTTTGAAAATCTAAAAAAACCCAAAGCATTGAAAACATTTATTTCAATCCCTATACTCATGTCTAAGGGTGGGGCCAGGGAGGGGGTCGTCGGGGGAGGGTGGGGGATGAAGGGGGTGGGGAGTTTTCTTAAAAACATTTATTTTAATATTTTTAAATAAAAATTCATAAAATTATATAAACGTGACATATATCACTTAACAAAATTTTCAACATCTGTTACGGTCGAAACACTTAAAATGGTTACATTTGTAACGTTAGATACCTAGATTGACCGAAAAAAATTTTGACATCTAAATGAGAAAAATTATAGAATTTAGACATTTTTTATATTAAGCTTTTAAATTTATAGTAACACGAAAAAATATAAAATTGGAAGCTAAATGGAGCAGAAATCAATAAAAACATGCAAAATGGATTAAATATTGCATTAACTAACAAAACGAGAGGGTTAGACATATAATTTACCGAAAATAAGAAATAAATAATAAAAAAAGAAAAATAAAATTTTAAAAAGGGTTTGGGCAGCACGGGTCGGTTTGCGTGTCGAGGTACAAACCCTATCGGGTCGACCCGACCCAACCACATATATATGTTCAAACTTTTATTTATTTATTTTTACCCTTCTTAAAAAATAATCTCTCTTCTACGGATGTTCAACCCTCGATTAAAACTGATTTAACTGGTCAAATTAAAGTTTTTTTCGATTAATCGATCAAAGTTTTACCTTAAGAGTGTTTAAACTTCATTTTTAAATAAATTGACCAACCAAATTAACCAGATTAATTGAAAATATAAAATATTTAATATATATTATTTATAAATTTTGGTTAATTCAGTTAATCAACCGATTAATCGAACTTTGTTCGGTTCAGTTAATTATTTTTGAAAAAATTTTGGTTCGTTAATGATTAATGAAAAATTTTTGATTAATGAAATTATAGAAGTTCAGTTTGATCAATCAACCGAACCAACCGATTGAATACCCCTACTATCTTCTAATTTCTCCCAAATCCAAAAACCTAACTTACCAACTTTTTCGCCAATAACGATTCGTTGGTTGTTCTTTCCCACTAATCAGGACACCAATCAACTCCCATCGGTGTCTTTCTTCACTTTCTCAGGCAGAATTCTTAAAACAATATTCAAAACCTCATTTGATATTTGAAATTTTCAAGCTCTAATATGTCATTTGTGCCACCAAATCCAACTCTTTTTTTTAATATATTGATCTTCTCGATACTCTTGATCATTTGAGCTTTCAAATTGGAGAATAGATCCTTGAAACACTGATAAACAAAAAGGTCAGGATGTTTGATTCCCTATTATCTATCAAGGCGTATTTCATAAGCTCGTGTTGAAGTTCGAAAATGTACATAGAAATTGTACAATCATTTGAAAGGTCACGGATATTGTGCGTAGATCTAAAGAATATTCTCGTATAGTCTCTTAAAAGCTCGTCAAAATCTTTAAATCACACTAAACAGACTGATATTTGAGTAAATGACGACCTTATTAGCCAAAAATTGTCTAATAAATATATACAACAATTATTTGATGTCCCTCAGTGTTGTCACAGACAGGGAAGTCTTAGCTTCCTTTTGTAGAGTGGTTGGAAAGACTTTACACTTCAGTTCATCGGAGTCCCCTATGATGTACATATAGTTAATGTACTAGGACATTCATTTAGTAGGATCTCTGATAACATCATAGATTTTCTTGGACAACTTGAGGTATGGAGGGTAGGAAGCTGCTAGCACGTAGACATGAGAGACTATGCTCCTTCGTAGCCTCATCTCTCTTGGAGTTGTTTGCAGCCCGGAGATCATCAATTTATTTTTTTATGGTTTGTATTTACTTCCTTCGTTTTTGTTCTACTGGACCAACACATATTCTCTCACTAGCGATGACATACTCTCACTAGCGTTCCTCTTCGTTATTGAAGGCTCTTTCTTCTTCTTTCTCTCGCCGCCAATTTCTTTAGCGTTGGGAGATCAGCAACTCTTGAAGAATTTTTTGGATTAACTCTTATTATTGTTGGTTTTGTTGTTGCAACTACAATTGAAACACATGAGAGTCTTGGAACTATACATGCAGACTTCGTAGCTCGTTCTACATATTTTGAACTTGTAGGATATTTTAGTTGTCGGAGTATATAAATTGATGTTACTGCCTACAATGAGTTTAATGTTAACCGGTTTGATTGTAGGCATCGTGATAAGGCTGGTGGTACGTTATGCCGTACACAGTTTGCTGTTGTTGACCTGAAAAATCGAGAACATCAGTTGGATTTTGGGAATAAGATAATAGGTAAGAGTGATTATTTTACTTTTCAGGTTCATTTTAGTTGATTCTCTTTGGTCATGAGGTACTCTATGCTCATTGCACCAATTGTTGATGGAAGAAATGTGATTATGATGGTTTTTAGTGGTTTGTTCCTTTTGGTTTGGATAAAGAGTCTTCAATAGTTATTTAGTTGACTAAAGAAGATGATGAACAAGTAAGAGATTGTGCCCGAGAGAGAAAAAATGAGAGAAAAATAAAGTCTCATCCAACCTTACATGATGACTTATATACATGCCCTTAGTGTTCACGTAGACCTGTCAGTGGCCATATAAAAGGATTATAGTTGGTTGAAGGACACAAAACTCTAGAAACTTCAAGATTCAATAATAGGCAGAGAAATGACATTAGAAATTTGACCTACGAAGGAAGTCCGGAGAAAGTACAAAAAAATTAATATTAAATTTTTTATTAATTAGTAGAAATTAAAGAATTATTTTATTTGATAAGATTAAATATTATTTTTAAATGATTTATTTTTAATTTTAATATATATTAACTTTGAATAATGTTGAATAAAAGTTAAATATAATAAATAATATAAAATTTTAAAAAATATATTTTTATTAAATAAAATCAACTTTTTTTAGATTAGGTGAGATAGTTGCCTACTAACTTATCTTATTCAACACATCTTTAGTGAAGTTTTTTATTAAGTAAAAAATTAATATAATTATTAAACATATTTTAGAAAATAAATACTAAGTTTTTTAATAATTCATTTATTCTATGTATGGTATGTTTGTTTGTTGATTTTAATATGGGATTTGGAGAATTTTTTTTAAAAACATTAAGGTATTAAATCAATTGAACGAATTCAGTGATAAATGAGAGTTTATTTTTCTTAGGAGTATCAATTCGGACATTTATATCGGTAATGTGTGTATATTATCAATGATTAATTTTTTTTAATAAATACAATTTTATAATCACCCTATACTAATAAAAAATTATGATATTGAGTTTATAAATATGATCTTTAGAGTAGAAAATATCTCAACCAGAAACTTTTCCAGACTTCTTCGACTCAACTTTTCTTTATAATTAATACTAAACTCTAAACCCTAAACTCTAATAATAAAATTATCAAATCTCGAAATTTGTATAAATTTCACTTATTCCACATGATTTTAAAAATATTCATTTACCTTTTAAATTTTAACGAAAATACTCAGCTCTCCCTATGATTAAATATATACATAATTATACCTCTATTATTATTATTTATATAATTTTTAAACATTTTTCATTTCTTTTACTTTTAATTACAAAACAATGAGACTTTAACTAATTTGAACATTATATTAAAAATTAAAAAAAATTAAATTCTAATTAAATTATGTTAGACTTCAAATAAAATAATTTTTTTGGGTTACAAAAACAAAATATTTTAAACTCATATTTAACAATTATATATAAGCTTCGAGATGAATTTATTAAAGTTTTATATAAAATTTAAACTCCTTCCATCCCATTTAAAATATAAGATATTTTATGCAGAATTTTAAATATATATATATATATATATATATATATATATATATATATATGATAACTACTTTATTCTATTTTTTATATTTGAGAAACTCGTGAATACAGATTTAAACTAAAATATAGTAAATAATTATTTTGTATTTAATTTATAGTCTTTACTTTAAAATTATGAAGAGTATTGCCTATTTCAATGAATTTAAATCCAAAACCAATATTCTTTTTATGTTATTTAAAAGTCTCTTTGTACATAATTAAACTAACTAATACATATTGAGTGTCAATGATAATATATGTTGTATCCATAAATAAAACACACATTTACATTTTAGTACCGAGTTTAGTTCAAGTGGTAAGCAGTTTGATATCGTTTAAGTAGGTCTCGAGTTCAAATCATTGTATATGCAGATTAGTCAGAACAAAGCACATTCAAAATCAGGAGGGCAACTAAACAAAAATATTTTTAAATTTTAGAGGCAAATGTTGTAAAAAAGTGGTGGAATTGTTGAGGTTGTTTTTGGAATTAAATAAAAAGTATAGTATATAGTTTAAAACTTCAAAGACATAGGGTGATCCAAGTCCCCAAAAAAAAAATTTGAGTCTTGAAAGTACAAATATAAAGGTAAATGCCATTATTCAACTATGTCAAATATTATACTTTTTTAATATATACTTATAATGACTTTAAATAAATGTAATAGTTTGTGAATTTTAATTTTAATTCAATTGAATATATATATAGGGTTTGAATTTTAACATATAAAAGTTGTTTATTTTCATCTCATATTTAAACTTGTTCTTTTATATAAGAATAGCTTTAATAATTTAAAAACATATTTTTAAACATATGGATAATAAGAGGTGGCGGAAGCAGGGATGGACAAAGCTGCTCCCAAAACTTTTAAATTCATACATATTTTAGATATTTTCTGTTGAAAATATATTTTTGTTTTTCTCAAATTTTATAAGTTCGTCTCCTCTAACCTAAAATCTTGTATACGTCCCTGCGCGGATGCACACCTAAGTTATTCATTTTGAAATCTGAATTTCTCTAAATAATTACCTGTATTATTGAATATTGTTTACATTCTAAAATTTTATTAATATAAATGTAACTATTCTCAACAATAGAAAATCATCATTGATAATAAGAAATATATTTGGAAATAATAGTCAACTGAATACTTGAGTAAAGCGAGAAAATTCATATATAGAGATATAAGCAAATGGTAAAAAGTAAATAATTGTGAACAAAGGATAAGCGAGCTAAGACACCAAGCAAAACAACAATAAGAACAAAATACATGCATGCATGAACTTGGATTAATTTTAGCTCACTGTTTAGTCATTTCAAACAAGGAATTCGGAACTCCCCCCCCCCCCACAACAAAATTATTGACCATTCACAAGATGAACTTCTGTTCCTTTTTCTGGGGTTTGATTAATTCCCAGACTCCAACTCGGTCCCCCAATTACCAGCTTTCTCGAAACTAGACGTAGCCTTGTAAGTTGTAATGGGATAGCTTGGCTCAGTGGTTGCTGGTGAATTGACTCAGACCCATGGTCGAGCCAACTGATGCGAACTTGGCTAGTTCTTGGGGTAAAAATGGACGAGCAGGTTGATCATTGCTCATGCCAAGGAAATCCCTAGTCAAGCTTTGGTCAATTGAGTTGGAACCAAGGTGCGTCTTCAATTGACTCGCCTCACTTTGTTTCAGTACTCCTGTTTGTAACATCAGGTTGCTTCTTGACGCCACGAAACACTCTCGCTGACTGATGCCATGGGAAGAAGATGAGCTCGTTACACCGAAAAACGACGTCGACTTTCTTCTTGTTGAACCCATCTGGGCTGCTTTCTGCAAAAGGGCTGTTGCGGACATCGGCGTAGCAGCAGCAAGTATGGACTGCTGCTGCTTGATTTGAGTATCTGAGTAGAGAGATGACATACTTTCCATTGACTTCCCTTTGCTTCCACCTTCTTCTTTTAGCCCTTGTGGAAATGGCAATAGGGGAAGATTGGAATTCGTACCGAAATTGCCAAGTGATGATGAACCAAAGAGATTGCATGAAGCCATTTGAACCATCTCAGGCATACCTGGGCAATAAGATTAACATTTGAACCAAAGAGATCATGCAATACTTTTACCAAGATTATGTTGGTATACAGTGATACAGTATTTTATATTAGAAGATAAACTTATTAGGAGTGAAGAGATTATAAAATTTTAAGGAGAACGAAAACATATTATCAATAGAAAATAAAATCAGTTGTCGCCTTCTATCCATCCCTATTGGTATAGTTTTGAGGGAGATGATCAGATACCTGATGCAGTCATCCCATTGAAATCTTGTGTAAAATTCGAACCAAATTGAGGGATTCCAGCAACATCATGAGCTCCTCGGCCAGCAAATCCGATAGGCGTATTCACATCGTTTCTGAAATTCAGATTCGTGGCTGAAACTGATGAACTGAATCTTGCACTTTCTTCAGCTAAGGCATCACAAAACGCTCTATGGGTGTTAAAACTGTCTTTTCTGTTCGAATCAAAAGAAACCCAAATTCATTAAACAGGCCATTTATGACCTAATCATTAGGTCTCCTCGAATTCAGTTCGAAACCCCAAAACCATGAAACCCTTAAAACATATAGTATTTGATTATGAGCATTTTATGTACCTGGAGAACAGTGTCCCACAGTCACACTTGTACTCCCGTGTACCGCAAGTCTTAGAATGAGCTTTCCAGTCGGATTGAACAGCGTATTTCTTGGAACATTTCTCACACTTCCACTTCTTTTCTCCGTGTTTTCTGCTGTAATGTTTCTTGATCCCAGTGAGATCGCCGAGTGCTCTGGAAGGATCATGGTGGACGCAGGTTTTCTCGGGGCAAATGTAAACCTTCTTCCTAATCGCTTCTTTGTTGTTCCTTTGCTTGAGCTTCCATGGAAGATTGTGACCCCTCCGATGAAGCTGTAAGTTCTGGTCTCTTTGGAAACCTTTGTTGCATATTTGACATATGAATCTGTTGGTGGCCATAAGAGTTTTGGGAGATAAAGCAATAACTTCAGCATCTGGATCTGTAACAAGACAAATAAAATCAGTGAAATCAAAGAAAAGGGTATTATCAAAAGAGAGAGAAAATAATAATTGATCAAGCAAACTTACCGGGATTTCCTGGAAGATTTCTCTTATTCTTAACTGGATTAGATTTAGGATTAGGGTTTGCATGATTTTGTTCCTGATGAACAAACCCTCCTATAGAAAACGCATCAGCAGACATTTTTTGGGGAGGTATTGCAACTAAATTCCGAAAACCGATAGTATAGAAACTTAGTTGTAAGAGAAAAAAAAACAGTATAAAACAAAAGGAAAACAAGGATTTCTCCAAACACAAGTAGATAAACGTTTGGGGATATATATATATATATTAAAATACTGACTCAGCTTTTTATATCTCTCTGGTTTGGCCAAAGAGACAAGAAAAGCACAACTCAAGCTTAAATCTAAGAAAATTCTTCCAACAAACAAATATACTTACTAAGCTTAGATCTGGTGCTTTTTCTTTTTTCAAGCAACAAAAACTGTTATCTTTCTTTTTCTTTTTCTTTCTTAGAGTCTTTAGTCTTACATTATTCAACTCTCGTTCTCTTCCATGCACAAACACAATCGTCGAACTCTGCGTTTGCGTTTGTGCGTGGAAGACAGCGACCAGCTGATCAGCTGAAAATATATTAATTTTTTGTAGTAGTTTTAGCAGCTTTTTGAGTTCAAACTACATAGCCTAGCGTAGTTTAAAGTACCTTAATATTTTAATAGTATTTGCAGTAATACCTATAAAATAAAAGGAGAGACTTTGTGATGCAGGATACGTGACACATGATGCTGAGCTGTCAGATTGCACTTTGATGGTGTTGAGATATCATGAATTGGCAGATCAGCGTAAAGGCGAGAATTGATTGTGACATGTTCCTCATTATGGTCGTTTTGAGTATGTTTCAGTCTTTTGGTCATAACTTTGGCTACATGTGTCAGAATCGCGCATAAGATTCTAATCCGGAAAGCTCTTTTCGACGCCACGTTCTCCACATTAAACTACGCTCCATGTGGCCTTTTTTTCAACCTCAAATTCTGTCGTTTTCCCCTCCGAATCACTAGAATTAGATATTTTTTTACTATTTATGGTAATATTTCGATTGTCAATTAGGAAGTCAATTTAAATCCGATTTAGGCCGGATTTTTTGGAGATTGCTTATTTTATTTCGAATTTCAATTTAGAGTGATTTTCGGGATTTTGCTATTTTTGACAAAATTCGAATAAAGACGATTTTTGGCTATAACAATCCGGCTTGTGGACTGATTTTAACATTGTTTGATTTGATAATATTTTATTAAACCCTAGAGACTTTTTTTCTCTAGATTTTTTTGGGCGAATTTTCTCTTGTGAATCATCTGTTGGAGCGCTTGCAGGATAATCACTATTCTGTCTGGCGTCACTTTGAGGGCGTTTTTCCAAAAAAAAATCATTTTTTTCATTTAATATTCCCAATCAGACACCGTTCAGATTATATTTTTCCGATCTAACACCCTTTGCAGGAAGATACCCCTAAACCGCGCTTTACGTCACGTGGTCGAAAGTGTGCCTTGTGTAAAAAACTCTGGTGCTAGTTTTGTAAATATTTTTAAATGAGTGTCAAAAACGTAATTAATTTTTATTATGGTAACATTTGTGTAAAAACGTCAGCATTTTGAATTGTGCACAGCTCACACCGCACGATTTCCTGGGGTTTTAATGAAGTGTGCAGTGTGTGTAGTGAGTTTATTAGTATTTTAGTGTCGTAAGTTTATTTTTTTATAATAATAAATATTTTATAATTTTAAAAATTATAAATTTCATATATTTTTTAAAAAAATATTATCTTTTAAAATTAATTGTTTAAAAATATAAAAAATATTAAAATAAATTTTTAATTATAATTGAGAGATCAAATTAATTATTATTTTTTATTTTTTAACAAAAGTTAATAATGTTTATTCATTTTTAATAAATTTATTTAAATTTTTGCATTAAAATTACACAATATGTATAATCTAGTATATAAAAACTTTGAGGGTAAGTATTTTAAAATATGAATAATTTTATAAAAAATTTATAACTAGTATTTTATTTACAAAATACTAATGATGATAAATATTTTATAATTTAAAAAATTATAAATTTCATATATTTTTTAAAAAATTATTGTTTTTAAAATTAATTGTTTAAAAATATAAAAATATTAAAATAAACTTTTAATTACAACTGAGGGTTTAAATGAATTATTATTCAATAATTTTTTCAAAAATATATGAATTTTATAATTTTTTAAATTATAAAATATTTATTATTATAAAAAAATAAACTTGTTACACATTAAAATACTAATGAACTCAACCACTACACGCACTGTCCATTTCATTAACTTGTGAATGCACAATTAAAATACTGACATTTTTACACTAATATCACCATAATAAAAATTAATAACGTATTTAGCACCCGTTTAAAAATATTTACAAAACTAACACCCGAAGTTTTTACACATTTGGTAAGATGCACCCCCGGGGCATGCCTTCTACCACATGGCGTAAAGCGCGATTCAGGGAACTCAACCACTACACAAACTGTTCATTTCATTAACTTATGACCAAATTCCAATCAGTTCATCTGGAACGTGCGGTGTGGGATGTATGCACAATTAAAATACTGACATTTTTATACAAATGTCACCATAATAGAAATTAATAACGTATTTGACACCCGTTTAAAAATATTTATAAAATTAATACCTGAATTTTTTACACATTTGGTAAGACGCACCTTCGGAGCGCGCCTTCTATCACGTGGTGTAAAGCACGATTCAGGAGGTGCGCCTTCTTGCAAAGGTTGTTAGATTAAAAAATATAGGGTTAAAGTGATATTTCGGGAGAAACGGTTTTTTTTTTTTTTAAAGACGTCTCATTTTTGTCTAGTGATGTGAGTCCATGAAAAAGGAAGTTTGGCTTAAAAAGTGAAATAGCTTTACAGCCATGTTTGATAAGCTTTTACGAATGAAATGATTAAACCATAATTTAAAGTAAGGCCAGATTTAGGGAAGAGATAAGGGATGGGGGTTCCCAAAAGTGAAAGGACGGTCCGTGATACTTGTCTGGAAAGTGGGACCCACACTTGAACCGTGATTCAGATGCTCCACCATCCTCAATCATCGCCACTATTCCCACTCTTGTTTGTTTTTGTTACTCATTCGTCTTCGTCCTCATGATCATTACCTATCCCATTATTTGACCTATACACATACCTCAAACAAACTAGATCAAAGATAGAGCATAACTTGTTTATATATAACATACGGGAAGTTCTGTTTGGGAATGTCTTAGGAACGGCGGGTTAATATATGGTTAATATACGGTGTTATCGGATATATTAAAAGATATTTAATAAATTTGGTTTAGCGGTATCGGAAATGTTGATTAATAATAATGTAGTAGGTCTAAGTCATGAAGAAATATTAAAAAATTATGCAACCGGCAAACTTAACTTGTCGGTTCGTGTCGATCCAAATTAAAAATATATCGATCCACAAAGATATAACAGGTAAAACTATGACAAAACCAGTATTGAAATGATAAAACCGGTAAAGCGGTACCGAATATATTTAAAGTATCAGTACTTTAATATAAGGATCGACACTTCGTTAATTTAAAAGAGAAGCAGTTTTAGCGCCTATAAAGTGTCGATACTTTCAAAAAATATATCGATCAACAACAATATAATAGGTAAAAATATGATAAAACTGGTATCCAAATGATGAAACCGGTAAAACGCTACCGGATATATTGAAAGTGTCGAAACTTTATATAAGGATCGACACTTTGTGAATTTAAAAGAGAAGTAGTTTTAGCGCCTATAAAGTGTCGATACTTGTATCAATCAAACAACGATATAACATGTAAAAATATGATAAAACCGGTATCAAAATGATAAAACCGGTAAAATGATACTGGATATATTAAAAGTGTCGATACTTTCGTAAGTACATGTAATAAATTATCGATACTTTCAAAGAAATACGTAATTATCCTTTCGAAAGTATCGACACCTGACATAAAAGTATCGACACTTTTGTATTTATATCGATTAAATATAAATAACATATCCGATGAAAATATAAAAGTCATAGCTAAATATCCTCTGAAAATAGATAGAACGGACGAGTTTTTGAAATCGAAGCGTAATTGTTGCTGCATTTCAGAAGGCGTTTCTAAAGCGAAGTTTGTTTGTTTGTTGCTGCAGTCGAATCGAAAAGTATGTTGTCGAAACCCTAATTTTTTATTATTACAGTAATCGCGATAGGGTTTTTATGTGTTGTTTGGGATTTTGGAGTAAAGAAGCATTTGGAACCGATTGCAGATAGAAAGTGATATTCAAGGAAAAATATAAATGTCGATACTTTTATTAAATATTATAGGTAGAAAATGATATTATAGGTTGTATAAATGTGCCGACACATTTTGTAGTGGCCATTCAAATTCTTTTGAAGAAAACCGTTTTACCACAAGAGTAGTTATCTATATTTGTATATTGAATAAAGTGTATGTAACAAAATAATTTGATTTGCGTAAACTGATATATAAAGGCCAGGAAAAATGGAGTCAATGGGTTGGAAAATTGTTGGTGGCGCATATGACTTTGAAATTGAGGCCGAGACTCGAAAGCAACCAAAGAGTGGATATATGTACTTCTAGTAAGTATCAATGTCTTTTTGTTATTATTGTTGAAATGGTAATTGGATTAAAGTATCGATAAACTTTAAATTGATTACAAATTTTAAATGTTGACAGTATGGCCGAATGTAAAAGGATGAAGGAAGATGACACACAGAGCGGTTCGGTATGTAAAATGAAATTGACATTGAGTATTATTTAGTGTTAATGTATTGATTAAGAAATGTTTATGTTTAATATTAGGTGACAAAAGATGTGAGGTCTAAATGGAATTCGATGAGTGATGCTGAAAAGGAACCTTACATCACACAGTCAAGGAATGATAGTAAAGAATACAAAGAACGGAGGAAAGAACATGAAAATAAGGTATTCATTAAACTTGTAAATACGTTGATACAAAATATATAAGAACTATAACATTATATATTGTTAAAAAATGTAGGAAGTGTCGACAAGATGCAGCATTAAAATGGTGAATTCATTAATTAAACACCTTAAGGAGAATGGTCAGTTGAATGTGCTGGGAGAAATAGGTTTTGGATCGTTGGTAGGAGTAAGGGATCGACCTATTCGGAGGGAATTGTGT